CTGTTGGTCACACATTTGATGCTTTTTAGTGCTTAAAATAACACATAGCACGCACTTTGTGTGTTCTGTATTATAACCTGTTTTTCCACGTATCCAGAACAGTCTTTGTGTTGACAAATACATGTGAGTGATGCTGCACAGTATGTCTTCATATCCTGTATCCATTTAATGTTACCAGGTTATAATACAATATTGTCTTAACGTCATACCTAGTCAGAATCGTGTTGCAGGCTCTGTATGCTTGTGTATGTCTTTGCATACTTGTCTAATTCTTTCCTGAGTTTGCACACACTAGTAAATCTGGGGCATTTGCATGACCTGTTTTATAGCATTGCACCCAGCCTCAATGATCATCTGACGTTGTTTTTAATACCTTTCTGGGAAAACAGACAAACATGGTGGGATCCATTTCCTGTGCCTCCTCGAATGCCCCTGGGCTTTTCCTGTTCTCCCTATAGTTGGCCATGAATATCCTCAACAGTGGGCGATTCAGCATGGGCAGCATAGTGGCTGGAATGATCAAGAAATTGATTGGTAAGTAAGTCGGGGCCAGGAGGCCTTTGTGGTACCATGTTGCCCTCATTGCAGCCAGGAGTCTGTGCTGCTTCCTCAGGGTGGGCTGGTGCTGAGCTAGGCCACCTGTGCAGAGGGCCACCTCAGGTTTGGCACCTGGGCTTTGTTCCCACCTGGGCCCAAGGGTTGGTCTTTGTATTTCAATACTCGAGGAGGGAGAGGCCTGGGCATTCTGGCTGTGGTGGAGCTTGGTGAGGTTGGACCTAGTGGCAGTTCTCAATAGATCCCTGTTTCGTGGGCAACTGACCAGAGTCCTTGGCTGTTGGACCTTTCCTTTGTTTTTTCTGTGTGGAACCAAGATTCTCCCTGGTTGGAATATAAAACAGCCCAATTGACCATTCTTGCTGTGAGGCTGTTACCTTGAGGAAGGGAGAGCACCCTTTAGGCCTCTCAGAATTCAGGGCAAGGTGGGCACACAAAGGCTCTGGTTGGTTTCCTTCCCTCAGTTTGATAGATGAGGAAACTGAGGCCTAGAGCAGTAGGTGGTTTGCCCCAGAACCACACCTGGACTGAAACCAGTGCTTCTGGGCTGGGCTCAGGGCTTCTCTGCTGTGCTGCTTGCAAGGCTCCTGCTTCAGCTTCGGTAAGAGCTTTGCAGGGCATGCACATGGTCAGCATAAGGGACAGAACCTCGGATGAGATCCCACAGCCCAGAAATGCATGGGTGTGGGTGCCATCCTGGGTGGCTAAGGCACACCAGGAAGCTCTTGGAGCTTGGTCTTCAGAGGTTGCCAGGACCTGGGTGGAGACTGATGTATCACTCAGGTGTACCCAGAACTCACCTCCAGTCCTATGTTCTGAAAGCAGGTGCATCTGCCTTCCCTCTGTGTCTTACAGTGACTCGGGTTGACAGTGTTGAGGAAGGTGGAGTGCTTGACCTGGGCCCTTTGCTAAGAACACGGCCAGGCCTGAGGTCTGGGTGTGACTCAGAATCCCATCTACTTTCCTCCTGCCATTGTCTGCTGGGCCCATGAGGAGCAGATGTCCTGCCCCAGACCTGTAGATGATGGAGCACAGCACACTGGCTTTGGGGGCATCTGATTGCAGCAGACAGGGTTCTTTTAGTTCCTGCGGTGGGCTCGAAGGGTAATGGTGACCCAGAGCCCTATAGATCATGCTTGGATAATGAGAAAGGTTCCAGTTCTAACAACTGTTCTCCTTCACCTCCAGTCCTATGTTCTGAAAGCAGGTGCATCTGCCTTCCCTCTGTGTCTTACAGTGACTCAGGTTGACAGTGTTGAGGAAGGTGGAGTGCTTGACCTGGGCCCTTTGCTAAGAACACGGCCAGGCCTGAGGTCTGGGTGTGACTCAGAATCCCATCTACTTTCCTCCTGCCATTGTCTGCTGGGCCCATGAGGAGCAGATGTCCTGCCCCAGACCTGTAGATGATGGAGCACAGGTCACTGGCTTTGGGGGCATCTGATTGCAGCAGACAGGGTTCTTTTAGTTCCTGCGGTGGGCTCGAAGGGTAATGGTGACCCAGAGCCCTATAGATCATGCTTGGATAATGAGAAAGGTTCCAGTTCTAACAACTCTGTTCTCCTTCAGAACTGACTGCCGAGTATGCCTGCACAAGAAAGCAGTTCAACAGGAAACTGAGTGAATTCGGGTTAATCCAGGTACCGAAGGCTGTGATCTCACCATGTGGATGTGAAACATGTGCTTGCTGTTCTCTCTGTCCTGGTGCCTCTTGTGCAGTGACTTAAGACCAGAGGGTGTTTGGTTGGCATAGGCCCCTTTTATTTTAGTGTATGTGTTGTCAAGGCGAGCACTAGGCCCCTTTTATTAAGGCTGGATTTGGTTCTCTTGGGCAATGAGGCTCCTGACTTCATTAGCTTCTTTTCTGGTCATCAGACTTGGGTCTCAGCTCACAATTGTGGTTTTCTGAACACCCCAGGAAAAGTTTGCTCTCATGGCTCAGAAGGCTTACGTGATGGAAAGCATGGCCTACCTCACCGCAGGGATGCTGGACCAGCCAGGAGTTCCGGACTGCTCCATCGAGGCTCTGGGCTTTGTTCCCACCTGGGCCCAAGGGTTGGTCTTTGTATTTCAATACTCGAGGAGGGAGAGGCCTGGGCATTCTGGCTGTGGTGGAGCTTGGTGAGGTTGGACCTAGTGGCAGTTCTCAATAGATCCCTGTTTCGTGGGCAATTGACCAGAGTCCTTGGCTGTTGGACCTTTCCTTTGTTTTTTCTGTGTGGAACCAAGATTCTCCCTGGTTGGAATATAAAACAGCCCAATTGACCATTCTTGCTGTGAGGCTGTTACCTTGAGGAAGGGAGAGCACCCTTTAGGCCTCTCAGAATTCAGGGCAAGGTGGGCACACAAAGGCTCTGGTTGGTTTCCTTCCCTCAGTTTGATAG